CCCTGGTCAAAAGCCCCCTCACAGCACTCTGGGAGGCTGAGGCAGAAAGATCATCACTTTGGGGTCAGTCTGGGCAATTTAGCTAGACACTGTTTCATAATTTTAAAAAGGAAAAAAATAAAAAAATAAATATATATGGCTGGGGATGTAGTGTGAAGGCCCAGGGTTCAATCCCCAGCCCCAGGAGAAAAGTCACCCTGCAGGGCGCTTCAGGCCCTGAGCCCGGGCCTTCACACTCTGGCCATCTCCTCCAGAGGAGCCTGGGACTCCCTCTCCCAGAGATGTCTCAGTACACCTGTCCCGGGTGGGGTGACTACACCCAGCAGAATACAGAACCCCTCAATCTCTGGGAAAAGAAGATGCGAGATACAGCCCCTCTCTTGCCCCTGTCCGCTTGTTTCCAGCCCCAGGCCTGAGGTCCTCACTCCTTTCTCCCACCCCTGTGAAGACCAGAGCAGGACCAGCCAATGGCTGGCGGAGGGGAACGGGAAGGCATCAGATGTACCTTTTAGGTCCCTGCTTGCATCTTGCTGCAAGAAGTCAAACAGGGGCTGGGGATTTAGCTCAGCGGCATAAGCACCTGTCTTGCAAGCAGGCGGTCATGAGTTCAATCCCTGGTACCGATAAAAAGATTAAAAAAAAAAAAAAAAAAAAAAAAAAAGAAGTCACAAACACACCACCCTGACACGCCCCCTGCCCAGCTGTGCCTTCTGTGTAGTGGCCCAGACCTGCCTGATCTCACACCAAATTGTCCCTCCTTTCCCCAGTGCTGTCTCAGCCTCAGGCTGGAGTGGCTCCAGCACCCTGCTGCCCAGAGTGTCTGTGCCTGGCACCTCTCCCAGACTTCCGGAGCAGGTTAGCTGGCTGGCAGGCAGGCTGGGGACACAGTTCCAGCCCTCTGTCTTGTCTGGAAAATCTGGCCAGGGATGTGACTTGGCACAGTGACAGCCACACTCCTCCCAGTTGTCCAGACTTCAGCCTTGAGCACCCGCAGAGCAGGCTTTGGTGTCGCACTGTTTGATCTTGCAGGGGGCCCTGCTCAAAATTAGGGGCAAGTGGGGAGGGAGGCCGCTGAGATTTGCTGGGTGCAGCAGGCTTTCGGGGTGGGTCGTGGGTACTAAGGGTACTAGGAGCCACAGCTCCTGCAGCAGAGGGCCCCAAGGCCTCTCCAGCACTATCCATACTCATCCACTGAGAGATGTTAAATGGTAGCATGACAAATGAAATGAATGTGTGTAATCCCAGCACTCTGGGAGGCTGAGGCAGGAGGATTGCCAGGCTGAGGCAGGAGGATTGCCAGTCCGAGTCTGGGACTTCCAGGACATGGGCAGTAGAGAGAGGGCCTCAGGGGCCAAAGTGGCCCAGGCGGCAGATGAGGCCAGGGTGGGAAGCCTTGATGCTGCACTAGTGTGCAGATAGTAAGGGCTGGGGGTGAGAGTCCCAGTCCTTTGTCTGAGAAACATTTATCAGTCACCCGGTATGTGCTATCCTGGGAGCCAGAGAAGTGGTAGGACAGGAAAAGGCAAAAGTTTACACCCTCCCAGAGCCCAAGGGCTGGCAGAGGAGACATCGTTGCGGTGATGCTGGGTTTTGGGAAGAGAAAGTGGGAACTCCTGGGGTTGCAGGGAAGCCAATTCTAGTGTATTTTACTTTAAAAGTTTATTGACTGCGAATTGGATCCAGCGCCTTTGCACTGAGCTTCATTCTGAGCCTTTTATGAAAATTTTGATTTTGACAGGCATGGGGGCACACACCTGTAATCCCAGCATTGGGAGGCTGAGAGGAGCATTGCCAAGAGTTTGAGAGTCAGTCTGTGCTACCATAAATTCAAGGCCAGGCGGAAGCATATGTCAAAAATGTTAAGTGGCCCTGGCTGTGCTGGAAATTGTGATTCTCTTGCCTCAGCCTCCCTGAATCCTTGGATTATCAGCATGTGCCAGCCATGCCTGGCCCAAATTTTAAATTAGATGGTTCAAGAGGGCCTTGCTGCCTGACCAGGCAGCACTTGAGTAAATATTGGAAGGAAGGGCCAAGTGCAATGGTGCACGACAGTAATCCCAGGGAGGCTGAGGCAAGAGGATTGAAATTGAAGAAAACCTTGTCTGAAATACAAAAGCTAAAAAGGCCGGGGGTGCAGCTCAGTACAAAGGCCTTGGGTTCCATCCCCAGGACATGGTGGGGAAAGGAGGGGCGCGTTGAGCCCTGTGGTATCTGGGGGAAAGAGCACTTGGGCAGAGGGAGTAACTTGTGCAATAGCCATGAGCTTGCCCAGGAGCAGGTGAGGAGGTCTGCTGTGTGATGGGTGAGGACCAGGTAGGGTACGGGCCGTGGGAGGTTTATAGGTGACCTCACTCTGGTTTTCGATCCAAGAGGCGGGAGGCATGGAGGTCTTGAGCAGAGGGGGATATGGCTTGTAGTACTGAAGACTGAACCCAGGGCCTTCACCCTGAACTACATCCCCAGCCCTTTTGCTTTTTATTTTGAGGACAGAGTCTCTTAAATTGTTAAATTCCCCAGGCTGGACTCAAACTTGAGATCCTCCTGCCTCAGCCTTAGAGTGCCATGATTCCATGGTTAGATTGTCTCTAGCTTTAACAGGATTGTCCTTAGTTGCTGAGTTGGGAATAGGGCAATGGGGACTGGAAAGATGGGGTCAAATTTCCAGAGATGAGGTTGGACAAGGTGAGTGCGCATTAGACAGGCAATGAGAGCTGAGGATTTAGCTATGAGGCATAAGTGCTTGCCTGGCAAGCGCAAGGTCAAGAGTTCGATCCCTGGCACCACATGATGGGAGGAGACCCACACAGCTGTGCTTCCTACTCCCCCTCCCCCAGGCTGGGAATGGATCCCAGGGGCTCTTGTATGTTGGAGAAGTGCTCTGCCACTGAGCTGCACCCCAGCCTGTGCAGATGGTTTTTCAAGCAAGGGAAGAATCCCCTTTGGGCAGTGAAGGGGACAACTGAAGGCTGCTCTGATGTCCAAGCAACACTGTGACCTCGGAAGGCAGGCAGATTCTGTCGGGCTGGAGAGGAAGGGTGGGTGCAGAGACTTCCCTCCGGCTGCTAGGGTTGACTCAGAGTCGGGAAAGAATGCAGTTGTGGGACAGCATTAAAGCAGCAGACAAGGCCATGAACCAGAAGCCAATAACTGTCCCCAAGCTCATAGCCTGATGACCTGCAGCAGCGACAGGTCTGAGGATGAGAGGGTGTGCGGACAGGACAAGCGTGGTTTGAAGGGCCCACTCCAACATCCAGGGAGACATCTGACTAATGTGGATGCGGCCTGAGTGATTGTGGGGAAGGTGATGGCGCTGTGTGTGGTCACACCCCGAGGGCTGTGAACAGAGGCAGGGCCAGGTGCCCCTACTGTAGATACTACTTCCCTAATTTTTTTTTTTGTACTTAAGATTGAGCTTAGAATCTTCACAACAGCATCTTGAGTCCTTTATTTTTTGAGGGAGAATTTTTTAAATTGCCAATTTGCCCAGGCTGACCTCAGATTGGGATCCTCCTGCCTCAGCTTCCCAGAATGCTGAGATTACAACCGTGGGCCACTCCCACCCTATTCTTTGATATAGACAACTGAAGGGTAAGTGTTCTACTAAGCCCTGTCTGGGGCTGGACATGTAGCTTAGTGGCACAACACCTGCCTGGCAAGTGTGAGGTTGTGAGTTCCATCCCTGATACCAAAAACAAAACCTGAGGGCACCAAGTCCTGTCCCTGTGCCAGTCAGATAGGCATCCTGGAGTCCCAATAATGGCACCTGCTCCCCTACGTCCATCTACCCGGGCAGGGGGACACCTGAAACCTCAGTGCAGCTGTGTCCTTCCTGCCCCAGCCCTGCCTTCCTCCCACCCTTCGAGCTTAGGCCTGGGAGGATGACTTCAGGGGGGGGGGTGCAGCACTAGCAGTGGTGGGCATCCCTTGAGCATCTCTCCCCTGCCCCTGTGATCCTCCCCCTGCCCCCAGTGGCAACAGCTGGTACCTCCCTCCTACACAGCACCTTTTCCAAGAATTCATCCTGACACCTAAGAGTGAGTTTTTTTTTTTCTTCTGTATGCCCCGTGTAAGTGCAGTGAGGATTGAAACATGGTCTTTGTGTGGAGCTACATCACTAGCCTTTTCTTTCCTTTTTAAAAAATCACGAGCCTTTTCTTAATTTTTGTTTTCAGATACAGTCTCACTAAATTGCTAAATTGCCCAGGCTGTGTTTGAGCTGGCAGTCCTCCTGCCTCAGCCTCCCAGAGTGCTGAGATTACAGGCGTGCACACTTAACGTCACACATGGATAAGGTCTAAATTGAGTGAGCCACACCACCTTAGGGTCAGGACACCTGCAGCAAAGCAGCAGCCAACTCCTGCCTCATTAGTCTCCAGTGTTTGCAGAGTGACAAACACTTGCCCACTTGTATGATCACGGTTCCTATAGAGGGCCCCTGGGGGAAAGCCTGGGCATCAGGGAGCATCATCCAAGGCGTTGGGTGTGGTTGGAGGGGCCCAATTAACTCCTGGTGCTGAGCGCTGTTGCCACCTGCTGGTCAAAGTGGGAGTTGCTGCTGCCTTGCACCTGTGTGCTGGAGCAGAGATGAAGTCTCCCCCTGCGGTCCAGAAGCTCCCCAGCTGGTGGGAAATATAGGAACCACGACAGGACAATGAAGGGGAAGTGCAGGGCTTACAGGCATCTGGAGGAGGTCGAGGAGGAAGCTTTCGTAGGATTCAGGATCAAGACAGTTCCTGGAGCACAGCTGGGGTGGAATATGGAGACTCAGGCTTCATGACCAGGGTGTGTGCGCGCATGTGCGTGTGCAAACAACATTCTCTTGTTATCTCTTCTCATTTGTTTTTGAGACAGGATCTTGCTATGTAGTCCAGGTTAGGCTTGAACCCACTGTGCACCGTGGGCTGGCCTCAGATTTGTGGCAATCCTCCCACTGGGCAGGCCACCATACCCAGTACCTGTTACTTTTCTCACTGCTCAGACAAAATACTAGACATCCAGAGTGAAAGGGGAAAAAGGTTTATTTAACTCAGTTCATAGAGGTTTTAGTCCATAATTGGCTGGCTTCAAGGCAGGGTTGGCATTCCAGAAGGGACAGTTCATGGCACCCACAAGGTAGCAAAAGCAACAAGGGGCCTCAACATTTTTCTGCATAAACCTGCAATCCCAGCACTTGGGAGGCTGAGGCAGGAGGATTTCTGCGAGTTGGAAGCCTGCCTGGGCTACGAAGTGAGTTCATGACCAGCCTGAACTGCATATCCTTTTTATCGGTACCGGGGATCGAACTCAGGACTGCCTGCTTGCAAGGCAGATGCTCACACCGCTGAGCTAAATCCCCAGCCCCAATGAAACCTTGTCTTAAAAAAATTGTTTTATGTTATCCAGACTCCTTTAAGTGGGTGGTGTGAGTGCTGCCCACCCACACCCTTAACCCCAAGGCCCCTGATCCTAGCATTGTACCATGAGTCAATCCTGATACCATACACTCTAGCTCCAGTCACTTCTGAAAAAGCCAAAGTATGATTGCATGAGGCTTTGGGGGGACATCTAGATCAAAGGCATAACAGCCAGCATGCCTGCTGTTTTCGCCACAAAACCCAGTACCCAGGGGCCCAAGGGATATCTCCCCAGCCCCAGTTAGTCCAAAACTGTCACCTTGCAGCTTTACCTGAGGCCTGGTGCACTTGCACCGGAAGGGAGGTGGTGTGTTTGGGGGGATGCACAGTGCCCTACTTGGTGTGCCATCTGAGATGGCACTTTAGAATGAAATTCTTTACATGCCTGAATGTAAATGTCTTTTTCCTAATCAGATGAAAAGAAATTTTGCCTAATATTATAATTCAAACTTTCAAGTGATGAGGAGTAATTACTACTTTAAAAAGTAGTGAAATTTTAAATAGTTAAAGCCACATTATTTTAAAGGAGATTTTTATGTGGAAACAATACTTTTCCACTCATGGTTTTGAAAGTTTATTCAAACCCTTCACTTTTATTTCTGCTTTCCAATCTCACTGTCACAATCATGTCTCTAGCTGGGCATGGTGGTACACCCCCCATACTGCCGGGACTTGGGAGGCTGAGGCAGGAGAATTGCCAGGAATTTAAGGCCAGCCTGGGCTACACAGTGAATTCAAGGCACATAGGGAGACCCTGTCTCAAAAAAACAACAAAAACCATGTCTTCCTTAGCTCCCGCTCCAGGTTCCGAATAGTTTTCTTGAGCTTTCACTTATAAACAAAGCCCCTTTCCTGTTTTCTGAGACACGGTCAAGATAATGTAGCTCAGGCAGACCCTGAATTCACTATGCAGCCCAGACTGGCCTTGAACTTGGCAGTTCTCCTACCTCAACCTCTCAAGTGCTAGGATTAGAGGTGTGCATCATCAGGCCCAGCATCAAAGCATTTTTTTTTTTTTTTGTCTTTTTCCTTTTTATCGGTACCGGGGATTGAACCCACGACTGCCTGCTTGCAAGGCAGGCACTTATGCCGCTGAGCTAAATCCCCAGCCCCCCATCAAAGCATTCTTGAACCTCTGAATTGAAAGCATTATTTTAAGCCCTGAGCGTGATTAGGATGGTTTTCATCTGGGCAGATGAATTATTTGGGTTTCCATAGGGCAACCACAGGTTTACGTGGAACAGCCTTCTCCTGCTCTTCCACGATCCCTCCCTCCCCCTTTCTCTCTGTGGTGCATCCCATCATGTTTTCCAGTGCTGGTGACTGAACCCAAGGCCTTGTGCCTGCTGGCGAACTGCTCTGAGTTCCATCCCCAGCCACTGCACAATTATGTTTTTTGAGACAGGGTCTCACTATGCAGTTCAGGTTGGCCTTGAGCTCACTCTGTAGTTCAGCTGCTCTTGAACTTGCAATGATCCTACTGCCTCAAGTCTCCTGATATCTGGGACTACAGATGCATACCACCAACTGGGCTCTTACTAAGCTTTTAATTCTAGTTTTTCTAGATCTATTTATTGCTTTTTTTTGAAACAGGGCCCCTTAATCTTCAGGGCAGCCAAGGTTGGGACACACAAAGGCTGTGACCTGTCCTAGACTGAGCAGAATAGACAGCAGTGGAAAATGCCTCCAATATCTGATGTCAAATTTTTTTTACCCCTCAAAAGCTATTTTTTGGAACTTAAACACCTTGTAATTGTTTCAAAGTAAGTTAAATGTCTGGCAAACATAAGCCTCCTGCAGGCTGACTCCTGAGCCCAGAGGGGAACCCATCAGACTGAATGGTGCAGGGACTTGTATGCCCCTATGCCCTGCCCCAGAGACCCCTCATCCTCTTACATGGCATTGGCTTCATCTCTGGTGGCTACAGAGGCCTAGAGATCAGGGCTTGTCTGGGCCACAGTACCGGTAGCTTCTCAACTGAATGCATCTCACAGAAAGGGCACGTTTGGGTACAGCTCGGCCACCTCTTCAACTGAAGACACTATCAAGGCTGGCACTGGCAGAAAACCAGCTGTGTAGGCACCCAGAGTCAACCTGGAGTGGTCACAGCAGGGGCTTCCTGGAGGGAGCACTGAAGTTTTCTAGCACCTGTAATCCCAGCACTCCGGAAGGCTGAGGCAGGAGGATCACAGTCTTACCCAGGCAATTTAGTGAGACTTCCTCTTGCTCCGCCAAAAATGGGGAACAGGGAAGGTAACTCAGTAGTGGAATGCACCTGGGTTTGATCCAGAAACAAACATTCAAACACATACACGTGCACTGCTGCTTTGGCTTCTCAACAGTGATGAGCTCCATTCACAAGTTTACATCACCAGTGTACTGCTCTGTGTCTGAGATCCTGGGCCTGCAGCATCTGCTCTTGGAATGAATGCTGGACCTGTCACAGAGGTTAGGAGCAAGAGTGCAGGGGAAGAGATATTCAAGATCTCAGGAGTAAGTTTTTGTTCATGCCAAGCACGTGTCTTTAATTCCAGCTATCCAGGAGGCTGAGGCAGGAAGCTTGTGAATTCAAAGTCAGTCTGTGTAACTTATCCGGACTGTCTCAAAATAAAATGGACTGGGCAAAGGCCCTCAGTTCAATCGTGGTACTGGAAAACAAAATAAACGTTTCCCTTATTTTCTGCCGAGGCCAGGTTAGAGCTGTGTGTGTGGAAGGTGCCATTTAAGGTACCAGGGAGCCACCCCTTGGCACCTTTCCTTGAAGGCAGAGGATACAGCGCCCCCTGGGGGCAAGGAGGGGAAAGGCACCAGTTATTGCAGGTGCAGGAGGGAGGGACTACTTGTTCCTACTCATTGCCCTGGGCGGGGCTGCTGGAGCAGGGCCCTCCCTAGGGAGTGTCCCATCTGGAAGGGAGGGCAAAGGGCCGCCTCCTAGGCTGCCACACCAGTCAGGCAGAGTTCCAGTGACCAGGCCACCCTCCGTGTACGGGCCCTGGGGGTAAGTGTCCGGAACCCACCTGCCCTGTCCTTTCCTGGGGGCTGGTGAGACCTCACTCTGGGAGTCCAGACACTCTGACCACTTTACTGGCTCTTAGGGCAGACAATGGCCACCGCTGCCACCTCCTCGGTATGGCTTGAATCCCCCTGGTGTACTTTCTGGTGGACCAACCACAGACTGGGCACAGGGGAGAGGTACAGCCTGCCTCAGCCTCCTTCCCTCTTGATATCTGCATCAGGGTCAAGGCCAAGGTGGGACACCTCATTCAGGCAACTTCAGCCCTCTGCCCCTTCACCCTACAGAGCCCAGAATCCCCTGGAGCGCTGGGGGCCACACAGCCAGAGCCCTCACTGGACCAGGTGCTCCAGGAGCGGGATGAAGCCCTTGCCAAGTGAGAGATGGCTGAGGGGGTGTGGGGTGAGGCCTGGGGGAGGGGCAGGCTCACCCACAGGGCCCTGTTCTGCTGGAGGGAAGGTGGGAGCCAGGCATCCCTGGAGGCCCTGAGCCTCAAGCTGCTATTCCTATGCCTGCAGGAAGCAAGCGGTGGAGGCCGAGCTGGACACATGCAGGGCCAGGCTGTGTGCTGTAGAGGCCCAGCTGCTGGAGGTCCTAGAGGAGAAACTGAGGCTGAAGCAGGAGGTGGAGGCCTGGGAGGTAGGATGGAGTGCTGGCTGGACTGGGAGAGGTGGGGATGTGACTGGGCTAGCCCTGACCCTGCTCTCCCCCACAGGAGGACATGCAGCAGTTAGTGGCGAAGCTGGTGCAGAGTCAGCTGCAGAGTGAGGCTGGGGGTGTGCTGGGCATCCGTGGGGACGCTGGTGCTGCCAGGAGCCTCCAGGCCCAACTGCCTCAGGGTCGGCGGGGCCGATGGTGGTAAGAGGCTGGCCCAGGACTTTGGGGGCACCATCTCTGTTCATTAAAGCTGGAGGTCTGACTGTCCCTGCACCAGATGTCCACTCAGCCTGAGTCCTTCTGTATGGAAAGATGAGCCAGATGGAGTGATGAGAAGCCCAGCGTCTCCTGGTCCCTCTTGCAGGGGCAACTCTTAGGTCAAGAAGCCTTTCACGGCAGCTATGAAGTCCTGTGGGCGGTCGGCATGGACCCAGTGGCCTGCGTTGGGCACAGTCTGCATCTGTGCTCGAGGGAAGAGTCGCTTTATCTCAGGGTGGTGGCTGGGCCTGTCCCCCAGAGATGGTGTGCACATGGGGGCCAGTGGGTGACACGGAGAGACAAAAGGAGGGGAGTGGGAAGAGACAGAAAGTCATGAGCCCAGGCACATGGCATTCCTGGAGTTCTCAGGCACTCCCTGCCCATCCCCTGCTCTCACTCAGGCTGGCTTACTTACTGTACAAATGCAGAGTCTCCACCGATGAGGAAGAGGGTTGGGCCAGAGTAGGATTCCTGTCGTTGAGGGAAGGTCAGGATGTCGTCCATGTGCTGGGCCAAGGCGTCCAAATTCACCCTCCAACCAAAGCGCCCGTTGATCTCCACCAGGTTGGTGAGCAGGAACTGCCGCACGGCTGAGTTCTGTGGTGGTGGTAGGGTGCAGCAGTTAGGGGTGGTCCTTGTGAGGCCCAGGCCACCATTCATCTTCCTTCCCTCAATAGGCAGGGCCTAGTCTACACCAGTTGGGTGGGTGTATTACCTGGACAACTTGGCTGAGCTGCTCATCAGCCAGTTTCCGGGCACTGGATCGAGGCAGCTCATCTGGGATGTCTATGGCCTTCATGGCTGCTACGTAGGTGGAGAAATGTGACAAGGAAGTATGGGCCACTGGGCTGATGTCCACAGGAATCAGACGTTCCACCAGCTCGGGCTGTGGGAGGAAACTGAACTAGGGACTGGGCAAAGGGCAAGAATAAAAGGGCCTGGAATCCCAGATAACCTGCTGGGCACAGGATGGCAGGGGGTGCCAGTCAGGGCACTCACCCTTTGCAGGGCCAACAGCATGGCTGTCTTTCCTCCCATGCTATGGCCGATAAGGACGCAGGGTGCCAGGCCCAGCTGGGGCAGGAGGTCCTGCAGGTCTTGGCTCATGGCCTCATAGCTCACATCCGGGCTGTGGGGGCTGTCACCATGGTTCCGAGCATCTACAGTCAACACCTGTGGAGTGGGGGAGAATGGAGTGGTTCCAACAAGGACTGAAATAGAGGGGACTAAAGAGTCTGGGTCAGATCTTGATGAGGGGAGGGGCCAGTGCCCAGGCCAGGAGGCCTCAGTGAATAAGCTGGGACCACTCTGCCAGAAAACAGAAGCCCAGGGGTGTGACCACGTAGATATCTGAAGGTCTGGGCTGCTTAGCTGGCAACCCCGGAGAAAGCCAGGAGACTCCAGGGCTTTCCAAGAGTTGGAGCACAGGTGACAGTTAAGAAGTGGTGAGCTTCGTGTCGTCCCTTCATGGGGAAGTGGCTGGTGGAGATCTACAATGGGAATGAGGGACTGGATAGGCGGCAGAGTGTGAGAATATGAATGGGTGTCCATGCAGACTCTGGGTCCGTTCTGTGGCCTCTGTCCTGGGAAAGACCTCCCCAGCCTCTGAACCGCTGAACCCCCAGTGCTAAGAATTGGATCCAAGGGCCTTCCAGCTGAGATACATCGCCAGCCCTTTTTTTTTTTTTTTTGCATTTTTCCTTTTTATCGGTACCAGGGATCGAACTCACGACTGCCTGCTTGCAAGGCAGGCGCTTATGTCGCTGAGGTAAATCCCCAGCCCCAGATAAATCCCCAGTCCCCATTTTTACTCTTTATTCAAAAGTCACTAAGCGGCCCAGGCAGAGCTTGAACTTTTGATCCTCCTGCCTCAGCCTCCTAGAGAGCTGGGATTACAGGTGTCCTCCATCATGCTAGGTTCTCATTCAGCTGCAGGCTTAAACTCGACCCACCGCTTCCTAGCTAGGAACCCAAAGGCTGGCCCGTCTCTGGCTCTTCCCAGGCCACGCCCACCCAGAAGCTCACCCTTCGGCCAGTCTGTTGAGCCAAGGACTTGGCGATGAAGTTGAAGTTAGTTTTGCTGCCGAAGAGTCCGTGCAGGAGAACGAGGGCCGGGGAGGCCGCTTCCCCGTCCAGAAGCTTGTAGGATAGCGGCAGCGGCCTGGAGGGAAAGGGCCAGGATAGGAGAGTTTCAAGGGGATGGCCCGGAAAGCCGCCTCGGAGGGGGCGGGGCACCAAGGAGAAGCAGGGGTGGGGGAAGGGTGCACAGCCTCCCCACCCGGCGTCCTTGCCTGACCTCGGCTCGGCGTGCCCTCGGTCACCGCCACTACTCCTCCTGAGAGCTTCAGGTATCCTCGAAGTGCTGGGCCTGCAGGGACTGAGCGCCCCGCGGGAGGCCTTGCAGACGCTGGCCCAGCGGAGCATAGTGGTGACCGCTTTGCCACGCGCGAGGCGCTGCGCATGCGTCCGCCAGGAGCCCTCACATCACGAGCCCCGCCTATAGTGAACCCTCTCTCCCACGGAGTCTCCGCCCACCTAGTTCCCGCCCCCAACAAGTGGCTTTACGCAATCCCGGAAAACAGTACGTTTCCCCAGCCCCGCCCCTTGCGCCATTGCGTAATCCAACAGGACCCCCGCCCATAGAGCCCTGCTCCCGGCCACGCCCCCTAGAGGCCTCCCCCGCCCCCCCCAGGTTCTCTCCACACCACTTTCTCACCCTGTGAATGAGGTCTACTCTGCTCCGCCGCAGTTGGTCCCGGGAGCGGTATGTTGGCGGCTGCGGGGCGGGGCCTTGTGCCCAGTCTTCTCATGGCCTGGCTCTCGGTCTCCACGCACTGCTCTGGGCGGGTGCCATGCTTCATGTGCTGCTGGCGCAGGCCACAGGCGCCAGAAGTGGCTCTTGTCGGGGCGCCATGCTCCACAGATGCAGGGCCTGTTAAGCTCGACGGAGCACAGCGCCTGTCCCACCCCGATTTCCCCTCTAGAGAAAACAAGGAGAGGCTTCAGAGACCACCTTTACAGGTGGGAAAAGGCGCAGAGACCAAGACCGCAGATGAGTGCAGAGTCGGAATCTCGGTCGGAGGCGAATCACACACACACACACACACACACACACACACACACACACACACACACACACACACACACACACCCCGGCCGAGGCGTTTGTATTGTCCGGTTCTTTTGCTGGACTGCCCCGATGGCCCAGAGCAGCTCCCTCCACAGTAAAGAAACTGACAGACGTCTAGCTCTGGATGCAGCCCCCCCCCCCCCCGTGGCAGGCCATGTCCCTCAAGGGAGCCCCGCGGGTGGGCGAGGTTGTTTGGAGTTGCAGCAGACCCCAGCCCTTAATGTTTATTTTGAGACAAATTATCACCAAGTCTTTAAATTGGTGTCTAACTTGGAATTCTCCTGCCTCATCTTCCCAGAGTGCTGGGATTATAGGCGCGTGCCATCTCACCACCATGCCACCGCGCCTGGCTCTGTCTCTCCCCCAGCTGTGTCTTCCTTCTAAGATAAAACTGAATGAAGAGAAAGAAAGGAGACAAGGGGGCTGAGGATTTAGCTCAGCGGCATAAGCGCCTCCCTTGCAAGCAGGCAGTCGTGAGTTTGATCCCCAGTACCGATAAAAAGGAAAAAGACAAAAAAAAAAAAAAAAAAAAAAAAAAAAAAAAAAAAAGACGAGGGTCAAACTTTAAGAAAAACTGCAACCTCGGGACACAGTTTACTTGTTTTCTTCCTTTACAGGACTTTTTTTTTCTTTTTGTCTTTTTCCTTTTTATCGGTACCGGGGATCAAACTCACGACTGCCTGCTTGCAAGGCAGGCATTTATGCCGCTGAGCTAAATCCCCAGCCCCTACAAGACATTTTTTAAAAAAATTCCTAAAAACCTTTAGGAGCGTAAACTGGGCTCTTAGGTCTGTGCTTTTGGCCTGTAAATTACGCTTCCTCCCACACACAATGCCTCCAACAGTGGAGGAAACAGCAGCATCCTTGGGGAGCGTGTCACAACTTAAAACACATGTCAGTGGTTGGCCTTCTTACACAACTCTCCAGGATGGCTTAAGTGACAGACAATAGGAATACACATCCCAGATCATCCATCTTGCCTGGAATTCACAGCAATCTGTCTCAGCCTCCTCCTGAGTGCCTGTAATCCCAGCACTCAGAAGGAGGCTGAGACAGAGATTAAAAACATCATACCACAGTGATATAAGTGCACCCATGTTTATAGTAGTGCATTGTGTAATAGCCAGATCTTGGAAAAAACCTAAATGCCCATAAACTAAGGGATGGATAAAAAAGATGTGATATTTTTATACAGTGGAGAGTACTCCATTGTACCGCCATAAAGAATGATAAAATGGACATTTTTATAGGTAAATGGATGCACCTTGAGAACATGATTAGTGAAATAAATAAGATACACATGTATAAACATTGTATTGTTTCATTAGTGTGACAAGCTGAAAGAAATAACATTTATATGTGTATGTATATAAAGATAGTTATGATAATTCTTTTTTATTTTGTACGGGGGATCAAACTTACGACCTCAGGCTTGCAAGGCAGACAGACACTTATACTGCAGAGCTAAATCCCCAAGCCCTAGTTAAGATAGATACCCTACTGATTTCTCTGAGTTTGCTGAAGAGAAAGATTTGTACTGCAGATGTCTTGTGCTCTGGGTGAATGACTTGGGGATGGCAATGTGAAGTGTGTGTACCATTATTGCCCCTGATTGACATGCTTTGAATTTTTATTGTAGTTTTTCTTCATCCTTTCTTCTTTTCTTTCTTTCTATCCTTGAATAAAATGGATTTTTAAAAAAGTATATCAACTATTTCGCTTGGTAGGCTGAGACCGGAGAATTGCTGCAAGTTTAAGGCCAGCCTGAACTATATACTGAGTTCCAGATCAGCCTGGACTACACGGCAGAAAACTGTCTTTTAAAAAAATGTGGTGGCTGGGAATTTAGCTCAGGGACCAATTGTTTGCCTGGTATGTGCAAGGTTATGAGTTTGATCCTTGGTACAAAAAAGAGAGACTATATGTAAGTAGACATGCAAATATACTTACACACATGCGTGTGCGTAATCACACAGCAAAAAATGAAGAAATGGCTGGAGTGATTTTCATCAAAATATTAACAAATGTGCAGAAAGAAAAGAAATCTGCAGCCCTAGTTTTTTGAGGATTGCCCATTTTAAAGACTTCCCTTTAGCCCCCAAAATATACCCAGCTGCAGATCACAAGGGGCCTTTTCCTCTTGAGGACCTGAGCTCTATTTCTTTTTTTTTTTTTTTTTTTTTTTTTTTTGGTCCTGGGAATAGAACTCAGATCTTGTGCTTGCCAGGAGGGTACTTGTGCTGCTGAACTGTATCCCAAGGCCCTTTTCTTTCTTTTCTTTCTTTCTGGCAGGGTCTTGAACTCTCTTATCTATTTTTTGGGGTGCTTTTAAAGTTTCTGATAAATCCCTTTATGCCTCTTATGAAGTGCCCTGAAAACTTTTTCAACGCTGGGAATCAGTGAATGTGTAGTTTAATTTTGCTGATAGGGTGAGTTTAGGAACCTTCCTGCATCCTGTGTGGTGACACTTCTGACTAGTTAGTTGCAAAGTCACATACACCTTTCAGGGCCCAGTGCAGCAGCCACTTTCTCAAGGCTTCCTGGATTTCCTGCCTTGGAACCACCTGAGTTCTCAAAGATCAGTCAGTGCACTGTGCAGTCCTATAGGATTGGCCTCCCCTGTGTCCACCTGAGGCTGGGGACTCCGGGAGGACTGAGGCTGTGTTTTGTGCAAAGCCTAAGTGATTTTATGAATGCACAGGGGAAGCTGGGGCAGGAGGCTTTGCCATGTCCCCTCCACACCCCCTGCCAAGGCAGGCCTGGAGTGCAGCCTGCTGCCTTTGCTCTAACATTGCCTGTGGGGACTCCGCAGGTGCTTTGTTCTAATCTGAGGTCGCTAGGGACCTAAGTGTGCCAAGCGGTGCAATCATTTGCTGGCAGCATAGTTATTAGAAGTGCCTGGGACACCTGAGCCCTCCATGCGCTTGGCCTGAGGACCAGGAAGGATGCTTCTCCCAGGGTGTTTTTCTAGTTCCCAGGGTGAAGGGAGAGGGTTGACGAATCAGGACAGTAGGTCAAACGTGTTTTCCAACAGCTCCTATCCTGCACCAGCCTGGTGTCCACCTGAGTAGCCTGAGGCTGGCCTGTGACATTTGACCAGCTGCCCAGGAGCCCAAGGGCCTAGGTCTAGCTTAAGACATAAACTCAGAGTCCTGGGCCCCCGGAGCTGTCACAGGCCGGCCGGGCTGGCCTCGCAAGCAGAAAAACCAGTTGGTTTGAGGTTTCTATGCGTGCGAACCTACCCAACAGCGGTGGGCGGGGCAGGGGAGGGGTTGGGGCAGCAGCGACTCTGCTGAGGAGCTGGGGAAGGGTCTCCCCAGCTAGTTTGTTGGAAGGGGGCTGGCTGTTGGCTGGAGACTGTCCTCATCTGTGGCAGGGAGTGTGGCGTGGAGACTTCGGAAAGCCCCTGCCCTGCTGACCCGGGTGTGGGTGCAGGGTACACTGCAGCTCCGGTGCTCCCCGCCCCCTCCCTCCGCTTTCCTGAAAACCACATTATCCTCAATCTCCCCTTGAGGAAGGGGCCCACGCCACCCAGCTCCAAGTCACTGAGCCAGAATGTGGCCCAGCCCCAGCCCTTCGTTGTCACCTCCCAGGACAGTGTTCCTATCTTTGTCCCCGTCCTTCTGGTTGGGGACTAAGGGCATAAAGGGTGTGGCCTATGGCCAGGAGGTGGCGGTGTTGAATGGGTTAAGGCGGGAGGGGGGGGGTCCCATAACTGCACCTGGCCCAGTATCGGTCACGTGGCCAGGGTTTCACCTGCCCCGCTGAGCAGGGACAATCAGGCCGCTTGTTCCAACACCGGTCGCCATGGCGACAGGAGTGTGCCTGGGAAGGTCATGGGGCAAATTCCTGCGAGTTGGCAGGTGGGGCAGGGGTGCCAGCGGTGCCATGGCCCTTGGGGGTTCCCTGAAGACCTCCGGAAGTCTCCTAGGAGGCTGCCTTCCAGGGTTCCCTGTGTGACTCCCTACCCAGGCTCCTCTTGTCCCAGTTCCTCATCTGCCCAGATTTTGGACCTAAGTTGATTAAACTCCAAGAATTTCCTGTGTACATTGTCTGGTTCAGTCCGCACTGAGGCAGGAATGGTAATCCCGTGGACCAGTTACCTGGTGAACCTTGCACAGTGACACAATCACAGAGACCTGAGGCTCCTCCAAAAACACTTCCGGGACACAGCTGTGACCAAAACAAACCAATGATCCACACAACACTGAATTGTGCAAAGCCTTTCTCTCTCCTCTCTCTTTCTTCTGTCTCTCTCTCTCTTTTTTTTTTTTTTTTTTTCTTTCAGTGGAACTGGGAATTGAACCTTGGTCCTTCTCACTGAGCTATATCAATTTTCTTTCTTTCTTTCTTTCTTTCTTTTTTTTTTTTTTGAGAGAGGGTCTC